GTTAAAGAAATGAAGCAGATAAAATGGGAGATATTCACATAGTGCAAACCTGAATCTTCCTGTCTCACTAAAGGGAAAAATGTCTGTAATAAGCAACATGCATCTTTTTTCTCTTTCAAGGTCAGACACAGCCTTCTGTATTCCCTGCATGATGTTTTAGGCTATTAAGGGAAATAATGAGTAAGCTGAAAGTTTCAGCATATGGCATTCTTCTTTTGCCTCCTGGAGCTAGATGTTTTGCATCAGGACCAGGCATGGGTGAAGCTGTTCAGACGAAATTAGAGTTGACCCCTACCTCAAACAGGACCCCCGAGCCTATTCTGAAGTTTGAAGAAGTTCAATTAGCGTTTTTTGTTTTGCTTTAATTTTCACATGCCTAGCCTCATCCAGGCCTAGAAACAGAAAGCTGATCTTGCAGTAATTCCATCCCGACCAGAATGGATTGGTCCATATTCACAAGAAAGCCTGTTCTCACAGGTTCCCCAGACCAAAAGGGTTTGTTCCTTATTTAAAAAAAAAAATGGGCCCGAGCTACAAAGTACAGAATCAGAGTCACATTTTCTAAAAGTCTGGGCAGTGTTTGGATCTGTAGCCTTACTGTGTTGCTTTCTATTAAAAAAACCCAAACCTCACAATATCATACAGTAATGACCTCCAACATTACAGCACCCCTATATTGATTTACAATGATTGGGGAAATTCCTGGACAATTAGAGATGGGGTCAACCAAATCGCAAGATCTGGTGAAACTCACATTTTTGGGGGGTGCAAAATCTAAGCCAAAAGCCCGATTTGAATTTTCCAAATAGTCCCTAGTCTTGGTACTCAGATACTACAAAGACCAGTGCTTTATAAAACCATTAGTGGAAGACATCCAAATAGAACTGGTCTATATATATGGCAAAAAGAATGTGACTTTTTTCCACTGTTGTCAAAATTAGAAATTATGATGAAAAATGTTGGCTAGCTTTAGTACTGAACCAGTACCCAAAGGTGGTGCTAGTGAGCATTAGAGCAACCAACTTTCAAACAAGGTGTAAAAAAAACCCCTGAGATCTTGATCCCTCACCGTTATAAGTCCCAGTTGCATTCTTAATTAATATTAGTCAAAGATTGCTTTAATACCTCCCATTATGAAGATTGAGTATTTTATATTTTGGGCATGAAAACAAAACCACCAAGGGAACAGAAAATGTTCTAACAGGACTTTTTTTTTTTAAAAAAAAAGTCTTCAGGATTTTTTGTTACTTTACTAATTTTTAGTTTAGAAATTTCAGCTATTGGGAATGAAATGATGTTCACTTGTTCTGCAAGAAAATATGAAACCAAAAATAATTATCTTTCATTAAATAAAAACACTAACAAAATGCACAACATGTTGCACAGAAAATCCAACTGTAGTATTCATAAACTATGTAGCTGTCAGTAAGTAAATAGTCCTGAGAAAGGATTCCACTTTCTAGCATTATAAATCAAGGAAGATTGAAACCACAGGTTACACAGAAGTATTGTAAAAAAATAAAAATAAAGTTCAACTGGTATGGAAGTAGATAGCACACAACTAGCACTATGATCTTTGTGAACATTTCTCATAGTACATTACCAACACTACAGTCATTGATCATTATTACTGCAAGCAGCAGCACTGGGATAAAGAATCTCGTTAAAATTTTGAAGTATTACCAAAAATTTACTGATCATTCTTTTACTGCGTCCAGTTTTCTATGTAATGACTTTCATTGCCAGAGGATGGAAACACTTACTTGCTCTAAGTACTGATGACTCTCTAGTACAAGGGCTATGAGGTGAGACAGCACAGGAAATCTCTTTTCAGGGTTTTCCAGCCTTATACTCAAATGAAATAGCAATAAAATGTAAACTCGCTCAACAAATAAAGTGGCAAAAATACTATATTTACATGTATTCCAATTCAAAACTCAAAGGCCTCCAGACAGGCTGCTTAGATGTAACCCATGGAAAATTCTTTAGTGACTAAAAGTAGATTTCTAAAAAGCAATTAAAATATTAAAAACTGCTTATCTCTGACTTGAAAATGACACAAACTGAAAGGAGAAGGAGCACAAAAAACAGGCGACTGGTATTTGAACTCACAAGGAAACCAAGGTCAAAACAGATAGTGTCAGAGTGGGTCTAAGACTGTTTGAGGACGTTAGATTGAGGACAAATATTGCTAGCTTTCTTGCATGAAAAGTAGCTGGCAGGTCAGGGAACAAAGGAATGCCACAGAAATGTGAGGAGCACCATAGAGAGAGAAAGTTCTCTCACGTACACCGCAAAAATAAATAGTATCACAGAGTCAACATATATGGCAGATAATAGAAATGGCTTGTGCCAGGCCTTGCATTCAGTAAGTAATGGAGATATGGAATGTTACTTAAAAATATGAAAGTAAACAGAGACTTCTATCAGAAGAATACAGCAGACAAGAACAAAGTTACCTCAAGGTTACAGGAGGAAAAGAAAGCACACTGCTCCAGTGTTCAAACTCCCTCCAATTTCCAGGACTTGTGAGCTGAAGAGATGGCACCATATTTAACCCCTGATTGTCCGAAGTAGGACAAACATGCTCAAAGACCAATTCTATGTGTGTCAGGTTCCGAAAAACAAGAAGATTTACTTCCATTCACAGTCACGCCCATTTCTTAGCCTGAGAACCATTTACTTGTCATGTTCCTTGGGGAATATTTTCTTTTGTTCCACAAGGTGTTGCCATGTTGCTCAGAAGAATATTTAATCTGTGTGAACAGTATTTCATGTGATCCCAAAGCTTCCCTGTACCACATCCTCCCTGAAATGGCCAAATATTTCCAATGCTTTAATGGGGGGAGGGGAGGAGGAAGTCTTTTCCAAAAGCATATTTTGAACGCGATATCGACCAAACATTCTATACACTACAAACTTCACAACAGAAGGAGCTAACTCCAGGATGAACCTATGAGGCACCTCCATTACACATCCAGGAAAGTTTAGCTGTGAGTCTACTTTTCTTTTTCTTTCTTTCCTTTTCTTTAAACAAGAGAGACGGAGAGACAGATAGGGAACCCTGACTCAGTCATCCATTCATCATTCAACCAAGCCCTGTTTCTAGCACTTCAAGAACTTCCTACCATAGAGGGAAGGCAATTACTAGTTGAGCTTTGTTTTTGTGTGTCTTTTTTGCTTTTTTTTCTGCACTTTTCTGGGCATTTAAAAAAAGTAGGCAAAGACATCAGCTACAGGCGGGACACATTTATCTGGGCTTTGTGGAATCTGATTGTAAAATCTAAAGAATCAATGAATATTGAGGAATGTAAATATAACCAGAGCTGAGCACAAACGTATTTTAAATGAAACGTGACCATTTTTCAGATTATGAAAAGTCTTTGATGTTTATGAGTTTGAACAAAAATGTATGGCCTATTGGTACCTTTGCCAATCATTCTTGGGGTTGTTTTTAATTGCTATTTATGATTGGGCACTTGATGTCATATGGCATTTCCATTTTTTGTCTCAAGCAAAATCCATTCAGTTACAAGACAAATTTCATTTCCTACAGAAACAGTTCTGAACTGTATGTATTATTCATTTTGTTTGTGAACATTCATACAAATAGAATTCCATGTTTGAAAACATTTGTGAAAAAAATCAACAATGGTTTCACAGACATTGTGAACTAAAGTATGGTATTTAGTCTGCAAACATTGTGAAAAATTGTCATGTCTATTCACCCAGCTCTGCAGATGACAGAGTAAGATGTGTCCTCATTGTTATAAAGTACATTGTTTTAGATATGAGGATCGTTGTTAGGATGAGGATAAGCATAGATAGATAGATAGATTTCTTTTTCAAGAAATATCTTACTCAGTGGTTCTGACTGTAGATGTGAGCTTATTAAAACCAGCACAGTTTTTCTAAGATTTTGGAATTGCATGTGAACAAAACTAAAGTAACTACATCATGTATTTGCCTTGAATATCAGCCAGGATGGGAAGGAGAAATACCAGAAGAAAGGCAGTTCTTGTACTATCCAGTTCTTGTACTAACCTGACCAAAACCAAAAAGTACTGGAAACCTTGCTAGAAAGTGTTTTCCCTAAGGTTCTCTAAACCATTGAGGTTAATAGAATTTCAGGTGTTTTAACATTGCTGAGCATCATGGAACTGAAAATGTAGTCTTGTTTTCCAAACAGTCAAGGCTCTGGATTAAAAAAAAGCACAACCTTCCTACAGAATTTTAACAACAACATGTTAAATAACATTTCTCCAAAACTGCTAATTTATGCTTAAGCTAATGTAAAATTCTGAAATAATTCTCTCCAGTGTAAGACTGAGCAATGCTGGTGAGGGATATTCTCAGATAGGAAAGGTGGAGAGGTTGGAGAAGGTTCTAGGGATAAACTCAACAGTCGAGCAGAGAGGCAGACACGTGTTTTAACGATAATACTGTTTTCCTTTTTCTAAAAAAGTTCCTTGTTCAGTTCTGGGGAAAGCGACCCTTTTTCTGTGTTTCTTTACCATTGTCAGATGGCAAAGGGCTCCAGAACACTTGCTTCAAGGATGTTAATGGATACAAGTTATTTTTCTACAACCAACTAAAGGACTGGTATGACAAATATGGACTGGCCATCTAAGGTGACATACTTAAGTACTTTGCCATCTGTAAAATATGATGTGATTAATCTTATTTGTTCTGTTGTGACAGCAAGTTTAGAAAATTGCAAGAATGTGTGTTTTAAGAAATGATACGTCACTAAAGCTAGCCTTCCGATAACGGTGCTAGAGCAAAATTTGTGGCCTAGAGGCTATCCAGCAGGATTTCTGTTACTTTTTAAAGTAGTGCATATAAACTGTGGTACAAAATAAGCCAGGGAAATATGACATTAGCAAAGTACCGCCTTTCTATATACTCTTGTCCCCAGGCCAGTCGGGACTCAATATAGCTTCATAAGTATTTTGTATACAAGACAAATGAGCGTGATCAATCATAGTCAGCATGCTTACCTCCCATCCAAAGTTTGTTTCCTTTAATGTGGTCCTTGGTATTGTCATGTAAGGTCCAAATCTTTCCCCAACTTCAATCTTCTTTTTGGCCCAAATCCCCAGCCCTGCCCCTGGAATCGAGGATTCTCTGAGTTCAAAGTCTGGCGGGATTGGAATGTCATCAGGAATGTAGACGGGAGCTTCGTAAGGTGAGCCTTCCTTGGGGGTGAAGTCCTCACTGGTAGGAAAAGGTGATGGAGGTCCGACGGGGATAGGGGACATAATACTGTCCTCTGTTTCCTCCTCTGCACTCTCACCAGCCAGGAGATCAGGGTCTGTCTCATACATACTATTTACAATCTCACTGTCACCTAAAGGGGAAACAATAGAACAACACATTCTAAAATCCTGAAGTCAACAGTTAGTTAACCCCTTCCCTGGGCAAGGAACATCAATGTGCAGTGGACATTCTAGAGGGTGGGAATGGTGCTACAGGAAAGATGATCCTGAGCTACAGAATTCAGATTTACAGCTTTCCCCATTGAGTTTGGGGTTTTTCCAGAGTTCCCCAGTAATTTGAAGGTGTGTCGATCCAGTGTTTTGGTGCAGATATGTCTACAATAATGCACAGCTAATGACAGTGACATTAAGGAGCTACCTTTGCTTGGTTAAACATTCAAGTCCAGCTGATGAACAACTATTACATTAGACAGCCCTGTGAGCATCTTACGGCATGCTGCAGGGCTTCACACTTCAACAGGTTGGAAAGTTGAGATTTTACTGAAAAAGCAAGGGTGGCCTTAGGCGAGGGAGGAAAAAGGAATATAAGTAGTGGCTAAGTGGGATGCAAAATGGCATTTATTGAAGAATGGAATGGAGGCCAGCAACCATGACTATCATGTGGCACAGGCTCAGGATGGCCATGCCAGATGATCTGCAATGATAGAATGAGGACGGAGGAAAATGGAGAAGGTGGCCAGAGCTCTCCGTTATTGTTCAATGTTTTAACTGACTCCATGTATTTTACATCAAATGCCAAAAGCCACATTAAAGCCAAGTTATGGATGAAAGTTGCATGCACAAAGATCCGATAATTCTAGTGAGTTGTCACTTTCCTTAGGGGTCACAGGATAAAGCACACGTGTGTACTGGAGAATGTAGGTACTCAATTTTAGCTTATTTACAGTACGACAGGCAGTACTTATGGAACAGAGACACTAATAAAGGAAACCAATGCTGATGAATCTTGGTTCCATTTTCTGAGCAGCTCTGAAGAGGAGTCATTCAGACATGATTCAGAGGCAGGGCCGGCTCCAGCATTTCTGCCGCCCCAAGCCAAAAAAAAAAAAAAAAGCCGCGATCGCGATCAGCGGCGGCAATTGGGGGGGGGGAAAAAAGCCGCGATCGGCGGCGGCAGTTCAGTGGCAGGTCTTTCGCTCCTAGAGGGACCGAGGGACCTGCCGCCCCTGAATTGCCGCAGGTGCCGCCCCTCTCCCTTGGCCGCCCCAAGCACCTGCTTGTTAAGCTAGTGCCTGGAGCCGGCCCTGTTCAGAGGAACATTGGCCTCAGCCCTATGCTCATCTCTGCAACACTGAACATCTGCCAGGGCATGTTGATCATGTCCATTTCAATGACCAGGAGCACTCCTGCTTGCACATCCCATAACTGGAGCATAGTTAACTAATCTCAAGGCTGGGATCACCAGTAACAGCCGGCCCCAGTACACGTACAGCAGATTAGTGCCTAAGGAGCTCTGTTCTGTGGCATGAGCTGTGACCCTAAGAAAGCCTACGGCACCTGTGGCTCAGGTTTGGCCAGAGCTGCCAGACTAGTTTTAGGTTTGGTTTATTTGGTTCAATGGGTTATTCAATTAAAGCTGTGGCCAATTTGACCTTCCAACGATGTCTCTGTCTTTATTTGCGGTTTGGCACTCAGCAATGTATGTTCCTTCTCAAGCATAATTATAGCATCCCTAGCTTATAACATTGCATTAAGAGTAATGTATCATATATGCTTAAACAGTGGACATTTTAAGTTACTCTCTCAACCACACTACATATATTGTTTCATAAAACTTCATAGGACAGGGATGTGGTTTAATGCAGTGCTACAATGCTGAAACTGAAAGCTATGGAAAAGTTGTATAATATCGGTTCCAGAAAAATATTCCATGCAGCATTTCACGATCTGGTTAGGAACAGATCAATTCAAGAACTATTTACAACCATTTTTCCTAAAGAAACCAAAACCTTTAAAAGTCATGTGGCTAAAACACTTATTTAATTTAGCAGCATTCAGAACAGTAATTATTAGGCTTTAAATGGCCAGTGGTTTCTTCTTTTTCTTTTTTAATTGATTTGTGTGATCTTTTCACAAAAGCAACAGCAGAACTGCAGCTGTTTCTCTTGTACCCAAAGTTTTTAAGTTGTTTAGGTTTTAGAAACACCCACATAAAACATTGAAGTGGGATGTATACAGAATAAAGGTAAAATTGTAAGTAGGAGCAATTAACATTATTAGTCAGAATTGGTAACCACATCCAGTTACAAACAATGTGCCCAATCCCGGGAAAGCTTAGCACCCCCAACTTGAAATGATTGCAGTTGGAGTGGAGGCTGCTTAGCCTTACAGGATTGGATCACAAATCAGGTTTGAAAAAGGAAGGTTTGTTGTTGTTTTTGCAGTAAATATCCTTAATGCTGCAAGGCTGTTGAAGATCCATTCTTCCAGAATAATTAGGAAATAAGTGCTATTATTTTAGAAGTACAAATTATTACACTTGAGATAATTGCAAGGAAACACCATTATTAAAGCTATCACCACATATATCAATTTTCTGTTTGATTTTTGCTTCTAAAAGCTAAATAAACCGAAAGAAGTTTTAGTAACTAGAAACCTGTTTTGTAACGTTTGGAGGGTAGTTGAATAAGAAAATGCAGTGGAACCTAAAACGTGGATACAGTGAAAATTCTGCAGTGAAAGAGAAGATAATCTGAGATTATTATTTTTTTTGCACTGCTATACTCAGAGTGTAATTTTGCTTATTGTGACCCTTCTTAGAGTATTTAGTTATTGCTTATGTTACAGAGGCACCTAGGGTTTGTACAACAGTTAGCACACAGATAGAAATAGTACCTGCCTCAAAGAGCAATCCAAATATATGAGACAGACAAATGGTGGGAGAAAGAAATTATGTTTATCCCCATTTTGCAGTTAGGGAACTGAGTCGCAGAGAGATTAAGTGACTTGTCCAAGTTCACCCAGGAGGGCTGTTACAGAGCTGGGAACTGAATCCAGATCTCCTATGTCTCCTAGCATCTTAACCATTCTTCCCCGCTCTTAAAGAAGCGGAATGTGGGGGGGGGGGGGTGAGGGAAGATAATACTATAGGTGGTTTTCACTGTAGTTCCTTTCCAAACAGGGCTCTAGCAGAACCTCTGCACTCCACAAGCACCTTCTTTAAGCATGAGTAGAGGAGGTGTATTTTTCAGTAAACAGACAAATCCAGAGCAGGGTAATTTGTAAAAGTACCACGGCAGTTTGCAATCCAAACACAGGCCTACAATCACTGCTAACCAGCCTCAATTACAGCTGAAGTGTTTCCAGTCACTCTCTTCTAGGTTGCTGGAAGGCCTTGCCAAGAACATGAGATTTTTAATGACTTTGGAAATATGCTACACAATAGTAAGTTATTTACTTGTAAGAAAACCTGAAATTCTTTATTTTGGTGTTGCAGTGGTTTCAGGGGATAGGTTCACAACTGTGCTGATCATTCCAAAACATTCTTCAGGGAGGCCTAAAAAAATAAAGAAAGTGTGTGTGTGTCGGGGGGGGAGGGGGGCAGGAAGAGAAAAAAAAATATCTAGACTACAGGCATCATTTCACCTTAGCCACCGCAGTGTCTGAATTCTGCCTTGCGGATGTGTCTCTCACTTCCAGAGAGCATTCATGTGCGGTGTTGCCGGGGATCTTTTTTCAGTCTAGCACCCCCTGTAGCAATTCTGGTAAACACCCGTGCGCTGCCTCTTGCTCTGGCGGAAAGGTAGAGGAACCCAGGCCTGCCTTCTCCTCTGGGTTTCATCCCAGGGACCCTGTTTTAGGTGGCTAAGGACTGTTTCGTCAATCCCTCTGCCACTTCCCTGAGCTGCTCCTACCATCATTCCCAGCCTTCCAGACTAGAGCACTCAGCAGGCCAGCCGTCTTCTGTCAGTGTCTGCCTTCCCTGTGAGGGAGGAGGCAGCTTTTATACTGGCCCCTTTCTCCCAGTTCATCCCCCAACTGGCTGGAGGAAGAGAGGAGCCTTGCCCCACCCCCTCTGCCAGGCTCCTGATCCCAGGCCTTTAAAGAAACAGTGCCTTTTTCCTCCCAACCACTACTTAGTCCTGGGACCACATCTTCTGTGTCCCTGTCCCTCCTTAGGTCCTTGTATAACTTTCCTGGGTCTTTAAAAATCCTTAAAGAGACATACCAGGCAGTGGAGTGGGCTGACCACTAGACATTACTTCTCTTACAAACAGGCTACCCACTATCTGCCTATAAAACATTGTCAAATGGGCTGATTTCTCTAGCCAAGCTCATCCATTTTGGTACACACACATCTCACTTAGCACACAGACAACTGGAGAGATTTTTCTCAAGCTTCCGAAAGAAAGAAACCCAAACCTCCTTCACCAATGAGTTGAGATTTGGCATAAAATAAATTCCGGCCCCTTTTCCCCCTGAAAGTTATTACCGTAGGAAATGAAAACAGGAGCTATCATGGATCTCCATAGTTTCTGCTAGAGTGTTGGCTACTACACATGCTATAATACATTACTTGAATCCAGTGTAATAAATCGGTATTCACATGCCTCCTGCTATATTGCAGCCAAACTGACATTATTGAAGTAAATGATTATTGGGAAATAAATATGGGATGTATGTTTGGCAAGAAGACAACAGTTTTAAGAGAAACTTGGGGAAAATGTTAATTAATATTCCCAAATATCAGAGCTAATAAGATAGTTATTAGATATTGAGTAAAACAGTAATGGTTCTCCTTAAACTATATATACTGAGGGTTAGTAGCAGCTATGGCATAATAAGTCTATTCCACGGTTGTTAATTCTAAATGAATAGAAATAAATGTATCCCGCTAAGTTAGCATGTTGGCTCAGGAATATACAGCTCCTGCCATTGTAATTGGAACAGAATGTAGCCTTGTTACTCCATTGTGATCCCAGGGAGTATGGTGGAAGGGGTATCTACAGTGGTACCTGACTTTTCTAGAGCTAGATTCAAGATGCTGCCTGGTTTCAAAGGAAAGGCGAACCCTAGCCATTCAAATGATAGTTAGTCAAAGTGACCCGGGAACAGCAATTATTATTGCAGT